GTGCATTTGGGATTGATAGCCAATCCAACTGCGGTTACAACGAATTATTTTCTCACATTCAATTTGGGTATCAGAGTTCTGGATTCGATCACGATGAGTTCCGGTAGTTCGGGGCAAGTTAAAGTGACACTATTTTGGTTCGGTGGGAATGGAACTCCGACCGTCGTGAACTACGTTGTCGGTGCAAAATCCGTTGCGCCTACCCTAACGGTGAGAATTCATTTGTTTCCCCTTCCGAAATTTCTTGTTCTCTTGGGGATCAATTCAATCTTTTATCAGTGTGGGACCTATTCGTAACATGGCAACCCGTATAAGCTTAATAGAAATAGAAAACTCATAGATGAATAATGAGTTTGTAATCAACCCTAAGTTACTTGTTGAGTCTTAGATATTGTGAGTACATTTGAAAAGAAGGTTAAATGCATTCTGAAATTTGTATCAGTCGTGTGTGTGCACCATTAAAGCAAGTTCCGACAGTCGCCCAGGTGCAAGTTCACCGATTTCCGGTAACATATTCCAATAATGTGGCACCGGTTGGAAATGGGCTGAAGCGTAGGAGAGTTTGAGTAGCTTGATTATACAAGCCCTCAAAGCGACCAGTATGAAATCAGGCAAACTGTAAACCGGTCACGAGACTATCGTGAATCGACTTGAATGACGTAATGGTCGCATCCATCCTGACGAACTGTCACTGTTTATATAACGAAGGGTATGAATATTTATTTCAAAACTCTTAACCATACACTTTAGTTTGGTTTCGGTGAATACAGGGTTTGCTAAGTTGATTGATTAAAATTCTCACTTTCATTCGGGTAACGAAGAGTCAATTAGCGTGTTGGACTGTGCAAATTAGACTGATTTCCTGTTCTTTTTCACGTTCTTTTATTGAATATACAATGACGCAATTTTCAAGAAGACGGAGGCCACCAATTATTATTGGGAGTCAGGCGATGGTTTTGGGATTCGAACGCACTTCCTCCGGGGTGATAATTCGATGAACTTTACCATCGGGCCATCACCGCCCAGGGTGGCAAGTTTTACTTTATTTTATGGCGGCTGGCTCCTGGGAGAGAATAAGCCAGCTTCAAGGATATCAAGTGAATATCCATGACATTTATTGGTACAGGAAACGTCCCCAGAGTCACCCAGCTTTGGGTCGAGGTGACGGTGGCGGTTTGGATCGCCTATCTAGCGGTGTGACCGCTGTTGCATCCAAAGAGCTTCTTGGAGCCTCCAGTGAGAGCTTGACACCTGGTGGAGATCAAAGGAAGGAGGATGCCCCAAAGGGGCCGATAACCCTCCGAGTCAGAGGTGTTACTCCTACCGCGTACTCCATACACCCCGGTGGTGAACTGGATCAGGGTGACGCATGGGGTCTTCTTTTCTCGCATGTCTTTATTATAAACACTTTGAAGGGTGTCTATGTGTTGCACGTTTTGTGCATCTATAATTTCACAGCAGTAACCATTTTTCTAAGTTCTAAATGGTTAATTCCGTTTAACAAATATCCAGTATCCCACACAACGTGATTCATCTAATTTTAAAGAGAAGACAATATATGAGAGCAAAATATTGTTGTTGTTGTTTGGCAAATTGTAAATCGATAACTCCTTTGGTATTTCGTACTCGAGTAAGTTTCAGGGTTTATCACTAGGACTGGGTGAAACGATACCCGTAGTTAAAGAGTATTTTGGTGTAGTTTATTTCGTATCACGACTGTTAAGCGCCTCTTTTTTTCACTCGCTAATGCAGGGTTGAATCAATGCACTCCCCTATGTTTCCAACCACTGACGCACCTGTTTCATTCACCCATCAATTCCTTTTAGGTTGCCACTCAACCGGATTTCGTAATGGAGAAATTTCAGCCCAACGTGACCAGTTTTATGCCGGACTATTTCGCCCAGATGAGGGTGAACATCATATTCACTGAGAACATTGTCTACAACCCAGTACAATTTGTACTGAGCTTGACCGGAACAGCCGTGTCAATTAACCGTTGCTTTATCCAGTCTGTTGGCAGTTGCTTTGATAATTTGAATCCGGTGGGAATTACCTTTCAGTTAAATGGGTTAGTCAGTACTGTGACTGGGTCCTAAAACCTAGTTCCTTTTGTTTTTACAGGTTTCAAATTCATTTTTTCACAATGAAGTTTTGTGACTGAACGCTCTGAGAACTTTTCATTGTCTATCATGCTCGGTTTCGAGAACCGGTGCACTAATCGCCGAAGGCCAATCAGAAAATGCCTACGAAAAGTTCGGTAACATGACATTTATTCAGGTGAAAATGTAGCATTCAGGTATTGCGAGCTGGTTTAGAAAATCCCCAACTAAAACAAGCTTTTCCCGTGATAAATTTGAAGAGAGAAGCCAGTATAGCGCCATTGCAAGATTTGTGTCGTGAACGATTTCGCTGCATCTCACCTGGTGCCTACTGCAGCCAAATGCAGTGTCTATATACGGTTTGGGAATAGATTACAAAATAAACACTAGTAAATATTAGTAAAACTTGTTGCATCGACGCACTTATTTGCTGAATTCAGCCCACCCTGTCAGTGTTTCCTTCCATTCAGTGCGTCATGCTATTAATACTAATACCACTATTACTGAATCTGCTATATTCTCATGTGCTATTTTATCTACTGAATGTGTGCATACTTTTCCCTTCATCTTTGTTCGTCACAATCTAAATTGAGTACCGTCTTTCATCAGATGATTTTCGCACATTTTCACTGGTTGAGTTAGCTCGGTCATTCTGTCTGTTAATCGATCAACTTATCTCAATTCCATTCCTTCGTATTTTGTACTCTCTCCTCGTTCTTCACTTCTCTCAGTCATCATACTCTCTATCGCTCTGCGACGCATTTATCGATCCGATCTACCGAATCGATCAACTACCCAATTTGATCTATCCGTTGTTTCGTTTCCCGTTAGGGACATCCTTCCTCGTCCGTCCGCCGATCTGTGCCTGTACATTGGCGTTAGTTTGATTGCAACTGTGTGACTGTTGTTGCTATCGTCGTCAATCTCGTACGGTGAATCCCGTGATCGTGGTCTCTGTCGTGCGTGTGATAGTACCCTCCCCCTCTCCTGGCTTCTCTCAGCATACATACATCGGAACACCTGTTGTTTATCGACACCTTTTCTTGTCCGTCATTCTGTCTTATTTATTGTTTTCTTTTCTATCTGTTCTCACTTGTCTGACAATATTCACATCGTACGCTTCGCAGTTACAATTCTTCATAATCAGTTTCACGGGTCCCTAGAGAGATTGGGAGTTAGGATA